TCATATTCTAAATAATTTTTTGAATAAGTAAATTTATTTTTTTGTATTGTGAAAGAATGTAGTAAAGTAAGGGAAAATACGACATGCATAAGTTTGAAAAATGTATATGTCAAACTGAATTATATAATTTTATCTGCCAAACATATACTGTATCCTATTTTAATTTCTGGCACATCTCAGCTGATTTTCGACAATAATAGTGTAGACATTACATTTTTCTCATTCTAATATTGTCTAGGCTCATAAGGGAATTGAAATTTTTGGCAGATGACGGTTCTCATTTGTTTTCAATGCCAAACAATGTCTCAAATATTTTCAATGTCAAACAATGACATATCGTTTTTTCCATTTATTTCTATAATAATACTATATTTTTATAATCATTTACAATTACATCCTAAAAAATACCCTTGACAAACTTCAGAAAGATTTCAAATAATCGTTTAGGAAGAGTATCTTGTCTTACACCCGTACAGAAGGATTTTATATAAGGTATATTTATATATATATATATATATATATATATATATATATATATATTAGGTTGTCAAATATCTCCCTTCCGCTTTTTTGCTTGAAATTCAAAAAGGCGGAAGGGAGATATTTGACAACCTTATATATATATATATTAGTAGTATAATTATATATAGCTCAGCTCCCATGATCACTTGTGGTGTACATTATGCGTTTTGATTGAATATAATTTGTTTCTTTCATTGAATTTGAATATAAGTTTCTGTGGACACTTATATTTAAAGATAAGGTAAGATAAGAAAGATAAGACCTTTTTATTGATGGTTGATAAATGAGAGATTTTCATTCTTCACATATATCACGTTTATTATTTTATTACTTTACACATTGCATTACATTACATTTTCTCTTTTTATATTAAAATACATATTCAGACCACTAACAATTAATAAGAACCTCCCACAAATAATTGTTTATATTTTTATATCAAAAGACCTGTCGAAAGAAGGGCATTGGCCGTCTTTCCATTTCTATTTAAAATTGGCATTACTCTTGTATTTATATATAGATCTTTTTTTTAAAAAATGCATGTACCAATTTTTAACTTCTTATCTCATCATTTGATCAAGATATCATGAAATATGTGTAAGTTGTAACTGTAAAAGATGCCGAAAAAAATAATATTTTGTGCGTAGACTAGTCAGCACATTTGGAAGCATTGGAATAAAACGTTAATTCAAATCTATCTTTTATGAAGATTATCATTTTTGGAACGCCGCATCAATGACGGGATGCCTTCAAGTCGTACAGATGAATGGCAACCATTATTCATATATCGTAACTCATTACTGCATGGAGAAACTGATGCTGCACCTGTGACATCAAAACGAGCATACACGCGCAGGAAAAAAGATATAAGTAATATAAAAATTGCTATGAATCAAGTAAGTCAAAAACATTAGTCCCTTTTAATAATCTTAAAATATTTTTAGGTCATGCCGATGAAGATGAAGAGGCAGATGGTGAAAATATGGACTCTGATAACGAATATCCTTGAATTTTTAGCAATAATGTATTTGTATTCTTTAAATTATGTTTATATATTTAAAACAAAATATCGATAATTTTAAATATATGTTTCGTATTATAACGTTTATATGCTAGATTTATGTAAAGATCCACTATGGGTACATGAGTTAAAAACGAAAATGAGTATCTTTTAATAATACTTTGTTTGAAATTTGTTTTAAAAGTACAGCATATTTACTGCCACTTCTTAGGGAAAGCGACAATTTAAATGATTTAAAAACTTCAAGAAACCTACAAGTTTTTGATGAAGGTATATCAAACGACTATAGTCTTTTCAGTGATATGGGTAAAAAAGAAGTATGAACTGTTAATATATATGCATATCAAATTATTGAATTTTTATAAAGGTTGCTTTGATACATACAACTAAATTTTGGATTCAGTACCAATACATGAGAAATTTTTAAATTCTTCTAAGACTCAAATCAGGTAAGGAAGATTCACAGGCAAACATTTCAATTATTCAAGAAAGCTTTTTATATCACATATGAAAATATTTCTAAAAATTTCTTGAATTTGCAGTGGTTATTCTAAGGATCCATTTGATATTATCATCATATCTGATTTTTAGAGCTAGTTATCTGATATAATTGTTCAATTCAAGTATACTGCAAGTGTCTCTTGACTATTGGTCAACAAGTTTAGCTTGACAATAGTATTTTCTAACCACTAATGCTAGGTATTTAACAAATCAGAGCGTAGAATGTATCAATAAAATTAAAATGGATATTACTGATGATAATTAATTTCAAATTATGTTCAAAACAAAACAAATTTAAATAGATGCTTGGGCTTGGGTCAGTTAATCAAAATATATATTTTTTAACAAATGAAATTTGTTTGAAAATATAAAACAATATCCAAACTTTGAATAATATTAATTAACTTTCCGAAAAAGAATTTTATGTTTTCTCGAGAAAAGCTAATTTGCAAATTTTATGCTTTCTCGGCGTTTCAATTTTTTCTGAATAGTTTGACATTAAATTGGAAAAATTATTTGTGGGTTTTTAATATTTTATTATCTATCGATAAATTTTTACCTAATGCTAAAATTTTTCAACAAATAGAGGGTATAAATTTAAGTTTTGTTATCGAGCTAAATATAATTGAACTACTAAACTAACTATTATGAAATAGAAATTTGTGGTAGGAAAGTAAAAATTTAGAGTGTAGAGTACGTATTTTTCAATTCCGCATTAAAAACATTTAAAACTAGTGGGGTGGGTGGCATCGTGCCTTAAGGCAAATTGCTGAAACTTCCCGTACCATAACGAAATGTTCGAGGAATACTGAATGTTTTCAAATAGATTATTATAAATATTGTAACATTGTCTAATATTTATAAGAATTATATAAACTGAATTGCAAAGTTGAAATTATTTGTTTAAAGTATATTAGAACTATATTCAGAATTAAAAATAAAATCTGAATTATTTTCGATTTACAAAAAATTAAAAAAAAAAAATGGAACAAAAATTTTTTTTCCATAATCAATTATTTTGTTAAGACAAGCAGAAAGTTCTTTGAATCATTCAAATCGGACGCTTAGATCTCTCAAAAACTGCCATTTTTTACATATTTAGCTCCGTATCTTCGAAATGGCTTAGCCTGCCTTTGCCAAAAACTAATAAACACTTCCCCCAATCATTACTAATTGAATGTTTTTTAGATGATTCAAATCGGATACTCCGTTCTCTCAAAAAGTCGATTTCTATTTTCTGCACTCTTTGCTCCGTATCCTCGAAACGGCTGGACCTGCCTTTGCCAAAAACTAATCAGCTCTTTTCCCTATCGATAGGAATCGAATGCTTTTTGAACCATTCAAATCGGTTGATCCGTTCGCCCGGAAACGTGACTGGAAATTTGTATTCATACATACATACACACACACACACACACACACATTCATTTTTTCTGAGGTATGCCAAAATGTTCTGAAACCTTCAAAACGTCGAGAAATGTAAAAATTTTCAATTCCGATTTTCGGCCCATTACAATAACTTACCCTAAGGGAAGTTAATAAACAAAATTGATTGAGTTTGTGGTAAGAGGGCTGCATGTTTATTATTTAGTTACGAATTATAAAAATATAATATAAAAAAATTGGATAAAAAATTTGAAAAAAGGCGGCCTCCCTTTCTACTCAGTGGTATGAAAATTAGATTTTGTCCTATTCTTAGTTATTCTAAAGTAAATAGTAAAGCATAAAGATCGGTCAAGCCGTTTTGGATATATATATACATATATATATATATATATATATATATATATATATATAAACTCAATGGTAAAATCGTTAGCTTTTCATTTCGGTGTATACTCATTCATAGTTCAATAAACAGACTATGCGCTTGCGCAATGTGTTGGCTTCCTTTAGGAGACAACAAATTAGACAGAGTTTGCAGTCGAAAATTTGCAACATTTACAAATCATTAACTAAAACCTTTCAAATTGATTTGTAATCATAATAGGCGTAAAATACAAAATACATTTTTTATATTTTAAAATCAATTTAAATGTATTTCAAAATCAATTTTTGAAATAGCATGCTTAATAAATATATGTTTGTTTCTTCTTCTGTTCATTAAGTAATTAAGTTTGACTTAATTTTGTTGATTATACACAGCAAAAATGAGACCAATTAATCACGTACAAAGTCATTCTAAATTACGATCAATAAATCAAAATATATAATTTTTAACAAATTAAATAAAATAGAAATTTGTTTGAAAATATAAAACAATATTTTAGTTTTGAATAATTTTAATTACTTTACGAAGATGAATTTTATATTTACCACAGAAAATTCACTTTGAAAATTATATGCTTTCTCGGCATTTCAATCAATTTTGAATAGTTTGACATTAAATTGTAAAAATTATATGTGAATTTTTAATACTTTATTTCAAATATACAGCAGTTTACTGCAGAAAATTAAAACTAAGTTTTCGACAAAAGTCCTTAACCGATTTTGGAACTTTAAAAGCCGTTGGAAGGATATCCGTTGGAATCGTGCTGAAGATTGGCCAGACCCTTTTATTTATAATTAATTGTAGAAAATTTTGTAAAAAACATATATATTTTTTATACACTCCTTCGTTTATAGTTCTGCTCTACAAATATGACTGTTATTCAAGTATCAATGTGTGGTATTTAACTTTTCTTGTTTTTTTTTTTCACTAAGTAAGATATATACCAGGGCTCGGAACACGTGGCAGTCTATTTAGAATCATTGTTTAGGAGTTTTCCAATAGCTTGATGGATGCATATTAAAGAGCTTTTCTGTTTTCATTTATACACCTTTCATCATCTGAAAAATTGATAGCATTCAGCTCTCCCACTATAGATTGTGGAGTCGTATGTAGAAAGGGCATCTCCAGTTCATCTTTCTAAGCGTCATCGACAGCATCTTGCATACTTTCCCTTATAATAAATTGGCAAACCAAATATTAATATATAACAAAGTTCATTACAATGAATTTAAACTTGGTATTTATTATCGGTTGTTTAATATGCGGGACATTAGTGTCAGCTCAGGGCAGTAGTGAAATTACGCGATTGCTCGGAAATCAACAGATCGTTGGAAAACAAATAATGTGTGTATTAGATAAAGGCCCATGTGATCAACTTGGAAATCAATTGAAAGGTAATTCAGTATCTTTATCATTAGCTGTCCGAAGCAGGAGTATATTTTTTGCCAGAAAATCCGATCTCATATTTTTTTTCTCGACGTTTTGAAACGTTTGACATATTTGATATATGTATAGCAGCCAATTCGTCTAATTAGAAATATACGACACTCGAGTTTTCTTGCAAAAATAATTTCGAATAGCAAAAATTCTTGTTTTTAAAAAAAATATTTTTTAGTTTCAAATAAAGGTTATAAAACTTTTTCCTCAATATAACACACATTACGATTCATACCAAATCGTTAATTTTATATTTGCAGGAGTTTTGGATTTTAAAACTGTTATTTCAGTTTACTGATTTCAGTGCACTGATTGTGATGTGTATTATATTGGGGTATGTCTCCAATACATGCACAAGATAATTTTTTTATTTGTATGCTATTTATTATTTTACAATTCTTTTCCATAAATTAGTTTCTGCAAGAAAAATCCCTCAATCAAACGCAAAAAGCATCAATTTTATGACTTTTAGTTGCGTTTGATGAAAATATATATCTATTTAATGAATTTTTAATTTTCGTTTTTTATTTTGACTTAAATATAGAGTTGTACCAAGAAAATTCGCACTATCATTAACTTATTTTTCTATTACAAATGTGTTATTTTTAGTCTTGTTTCTTTTTTATGTTTTAGCTGCATTACCAGAAGTTTTAACACGAAATTGCCGAAGTTGCAACCCTCAGCAAGCCGCCAATGCTCAAAAATTGATTAGATTTTTGCAGGCTCATTATCCAGAAGTTTGGTCTATATTAACCAAAAAATACAAGAGCTAATTAAGATGTCGACAAACTACTTTATTGAAGCTTATTTATAAGAGAAAAATACCATTATTGGACAATAAATAAAGGGCAACAAATGTAAAAGCATCTATGTATTAAATTTGTATTATTTTGTAGTTTGGATTATGCGTTACCTGTCGAATGCATAACATGTGCTAAAATTTAATTCGGTAAGATAATCTTATTCTTATATTTACTCTACGGCTTAGGAATCAATTGCTTTTCATTTATTCAATTTTTCATTTAATGATTTTTTCATTCATCATCATTTTTTTCAGCGGTTATAAATTATCTTTATAGTCAGTCAAAATAATAAGTCCTGCAATGATTCGTTCTTTAGCAACTAACATGAAATTAATGTATTGTAATTTTTTATTAATAAGAATATACTATAAATATTATATTGATTTTTTATTAGATCATTAACTTCTTGTTGGGTAAGTCAATGCAATCGTCAAAAAAATCGAATTTGAACATTTTTGCTTATCTTCACGTTTTGAATGTTTCTGAACAATTTGCCACACCTTAGAAAAAATGGATGTGTGTGTGTATATGTATGTATGAATATAATTTTTCGGCCACGTTTTCGGGTGCGCGGATCAACCGATTTGAATCGTTAAAAAGTCTATAGGCTGTTTCTTGTGTAGTCTTCTTATAGGTGTATTATCAGCAGATGAGCCAAAGTTGCATTAGGACGATCGAAAATTTTAGCATGATGTCTAGTACTACTATTTTTGATGACATCGACTACAAAAGGAATGTTGAGGTCTTTGTTGCTAACAAACCACGGGGCGTCAGTAATCGTCCGTAGTGTTTTAGATTGTAATCTTTGAACAAGTCCCACATTTGATTTACTATAACATCCCCACAGTTGGATCCCATAGGCCTATACAGGTTTCATTATGGCCTTATAAATTAGTAGCTTATTATCTAATTTTGATTTTCGACCAATAAGCCATTTTAATTTTGAAAGTGTAAGCAGGGAATTTAGGGATTTAGAAATTTGGCGCCCTTGGGCACTCACAAAAATGCCGCCCCATCCCTAAATTTTTACTTAAAATAGTTTGTATAAATCATTTTTTTTAAATTTAAATAACTATTAGATTGCAGAAAATTTATTACGCATTACATAGTGTAAATAGTGGTGCTTGGCATCGTGCCTTAAGATAAATTGCTGAAACTTTCCGGACCAAAATTAAAATTAAAAAAAAAATTAAAGAGATCGGCCTGCTTTAGCTGCGTACAGACAAAATAAAGAAGCGCGTAAGCGCTGCCTCGCAGAATAATTTGATGATAAATAATAATTTATATTATTAAAATATCTGATAATTTTATGTGCATATGGCTAATGATCATTTTTGACCGCCAAATCTTTCTCTTTAAAATTTTTTTATTGGATCACCGAAACCGCTAGACCTGCCTCCCACAAATTTAATCAGTTCTCCATTTTGTCTATATATGTAAATTTCTTTTAATGATATTGGACGTTCCGTTTCTCAAAAAATGAATTATTATTTTTGGCATTTTGGCCCGTATTTCCGAAACAGTTGGACCTGTCTTGGCCAATAACTGATCAGCACGTCTCGCTATCAATAGAAGTCGAATTATTCAAATAAAATTTAATTTTAATAAGTTTAATGAATGAAACTTAAAAATTTTCAAAAAATTTTGAAATGTAAAAAAAAAGTTTTTTTTAAATTCAATTTTTATCATTTTTCAAAAATTTTAAAGCTTTTTATAAAATGTAATTTTCAGTATGGAAAGTTTCAATAACTTGCCGTAAGGCACAATGCCATGCGTCACTAATTTAATTTTTTTCGGCGCTATGAGCTTGGACGTCTTGCTATCAATAGAAATCGAAGTTGGAAGTGCACAAATTTGTCATCTTAAGAGGGCTCGGAATCTGAAGAACATGTTTTTCTTAAACTTTCAACTCACCCACGAATCTTTATATTAGCCAAATTGCCAAATTTTGCATTGCATTTGCATAATGTTTTGTTAATTATATTTCTTGAAATTAAAAATGTTATTAAAAAAATGAGTTAATTATATGGTATAGAATTTTCTTCTCACTATCCAAATTTTGCCGACCCCGAAAATTTGTCACCCTGGGCAGTAGCGCCGCCTGTCCCTACTGTAAATACAGGTATATATACATGTATAATAGAACACTTGAATAAATTGAAAATATATTCTGATTTTAAAATTTAATTTCATCTTTAGTATAGATAATTTCATGCCAAGTACACAAATTTTTCATGTTGCCATTTTTTTATTTTTTTTGTTTTCTTATAAATTATAATCTGTCTACATAGGAAGACATTGAGTAATTAATTTGACAAATAACATAGAATTTCAGAAGAAAAACCCAGAGGTTCACTTTATATTAATGTACTAAATTCTGACTTAATTAAAATTAGGTATATCGTATATGTATCCATATAATCGCTATAATCTTTCCAAAAGATATTCAAAATCTTTTAAGACTGAATTTATTTGTTTATTTTCTTTAAAAATCCAAATTTAAATAAACAATGAAAGGGTATCTGTGATTTTGCCAACACTAGCGCTATCAATTGCCTATAATACCCAAAACTATTTATTGATAAGATAACAACCAAAGATAAATGATTTTATCATTGATAACAATCTATGACAAAAGTATAAGATTTGAATTTGAATTGAAAACGAGTATAACGGGTAACGATTTATATTGTTTTGGCGCCTTTTTGCCCCCATAAAAGCTGGCACAAAAACCATGTTAAGTCATTTTGTGTTGGGACCTCGTGGTGATAATACAGTGAATGGTAAGTCATTTATAATAATTAATATTATTCTAAAACTTTTTTCAAGTAATTTCTAAAAAAAAGTCAAATATTCAGTTTCTTGAATATATGATTTATGAATGGTGTTTGCTTGTGCTTTGATTTATTTAATTTTATTTAGTGAATTATAAATAAAAAAAATGGAAACTGTTCATTATTTATATAAATCGATTTATGTTATTTTTTATATTTCAAAATAATTTTTGCCAAAGAGTTGCTGTAATGGTTTTGAAATAACTCTTCGGCCAAAATTATATTAAAATATAGAAAATAATGTAAATCCAATAATATAAATAAAAACGGTTTTCAAATTTTTTTAAATCATAATTTAATAAAAATAAATCAAATTAAAGCGCAAGTACATACATATATAAATATATGTATGTACATATGTATCTAATGTGTATTGTATTTATTTTATATTATATAAATATAAATAATTCCAACTGTAGAATTTAGGTATGATTTTATGACATAAAATTCAATTTTATATAATTTATTTGAATATACATTTTGATTTAAATATTGAATTATTAAATGACAAATAGAAATAAGAACATATGCACCATATGCAGTATATGTATAAATTTTATTAAGTCTTATAACATTAAACTATGAATACGAATATTGCATAATAATTGTACAAAATGATAATTTTAATTGAAAATGGCTAATATATTTGACTACAAACTCAATAATAATGAGAAAAAGTTTATAATTAGAAATCTATTACAGCATTAAAATTTATATTTAAACTAATGCTGGAATTATTTGCAATTGACTTGTTAAAATTATTTAATGTAGTTGTTTAATTAATTTTTAATGTATTTCGTTTTTTTTCAGATTTTATACAGTGCCAACAGTGAATAATAACTTCGGAGGCTTATTGTGCATTAAACTTTTTTGTTATTAATTGTAACTTAGTTTATTTGATATAGTGTTAAAAGTAATTTTTCATTTACCATTTTGCGTTATTTCGAGTACATGGTTCACACTTTTTTTTTTAATTTTCGAAAAACCACCGAACGTATTATGATGAAAATTGCGCGTTTGAAGCTACGTTCCTGCCGCCTACCCCCCACGGCAGGTCCAAGTAGTCGGGTTTCACATTTAAATTTAATTTAATAATTGATTAATTTTTGTTTTATATCTCTGAGTGTATGGACCCCTGCGTTGTTTTTCCCAGAAGCACCGCAACCCCATGCACTTAATTTAATAATTTATATTATTTGTGCTATTATTTTTATAATATTATTAAATTTAATTTTTTATTGTTTTGCTAAGTGGCCCATGGAAAGAAGTAACTTTTTTATAGATTTATAACATTCAGTTATATTTTTTTAAAAAGTTAATTTTATTACTTTTCGTGCCGTAATGTAATGAACACAATTTCATGAATTAACTTTACTTTTACTGGTCGCACAATGAGTCTCCTGGTGGAGGAATGCTGAATTTATAAGCAGTTGAACTTGGCAATGTTCGTGAGATGGTACGAAACTCTGAGCTATTTGTACAAATCTTTTTAATCTTGATAGAATTAAATAAAATTGTAATTTTAGGTTGAACACAGAAGTTACCAGAGGAATAGATCCTAAAAACACCATTACTAAAACGGAAGAATGTTTACCAGAACGTTAGTGATTACCAGTGTACAAGAGTAGGATGGACCACTTTGCAACCAGGAGCGCACACGACCAGAAGAACGTTTGTTTTATTCAGATAAGTTTGTTATTTACTACGATGGATCACTTTACTAACAAAGTAGAATGGACTACTTTACCACCAGGAGCGCACACGACCAGGAGAACGTTATATTATGATAAGTAAATTATTGGCTAAGATAGATCATAAGATATTAGTTTTTTTGCGATCATTTTCTATATTATTTTGTTATATTAAGATATCTCTTACTTGCTAAGATAGATCAGAAGATATTAGTTTTTTTGCGATCATTTTCTATATTATTTCATCGGGGCCCCATTTACGTTATTCATTCTTTATATTTGATTCGTGGACTGATTTATATACATATTATAAATAAGATATATCTCGTGCAATATCGTGTTATATACAGTGCAAGTGTTGTGTACAGTGATATCATAATATATACAGTGCAAATTGATATTTACGATTCAAGATCAAGATATAGTTCAAGATCAAGATACATACAGTGAAACATCAAGATCAAGATCCATGCGAGATGAAGATACATTCAAGATTAGAACCAATCAGAAAATTGC